TGGGCCATACGAGAAAGAGCTTTTTGTGGGATGTTTATTGTCACTTCAGTAAAGTATTACAATGCCTGATGTTCATATGTCTTTTCAACTGCACTGTGGGTAGCTTCTTTTGATTGGCAATGACTGTTATAACGTTGCCTTGATTATTAAACACAGAACTAAATCTCAACTCACAGACTTGTGAGTATATAATACCTTCTCTCCAAGTATTCCACAAAATTAAATGGTCAAGCTTTGTGTTTCTCTTCAAGATGGATCCAATATTGCTATTTCTGCAAAGAATAGGTGAAACATGTTAGGGTTAACTTCCAAAGGTTAGCAGTGTCTCAAGAAGATACAGAGGCAGGATTCATCTGACCAAATATTAGAGGTACAGTCACCTCAAGGCCGTGAATCATCTGAATTAAATCAAATGAAGCACAACCAGAAAGTATCTATTTCTCTGCATTGCCAAGATGACAAACTCAGATGCTTCTACTGTCAAGGCAATGTTCAGTCAAATTTAAGTTTTCTGAATCCTTGTAAAATGCACTAGCCATTTGGTCATTCTACCTTTTACAGTCAGACATTTCCTGACAGTTACTTACACGCTTTTAAATACTAAGCCAGATTTTTTCCAATTCTCCTGCTACATCACCCCTCAGCACTTCCTATGCATACTATGGAAGTGACTTTAGGATTTTCATCTGCTTTTTACATTTCAGTTGGCACTGTGGAAACATTGTGCTTGCATTTTTTTCTTTCATATTCCTTTAATATGCTGTCTTCATGTATGAGCTAGATGAGGAGCTCAGAGGCAGCATGCTTACTTTCCCCTGCAGCTGCTCTTTGTGCTGCTCCACAATGAGATGCCAGTCATGTGCAAGAGTGCTGCAAACCCCACTTTTCTGCCCTCATGCTGATGCATCTGTGTGGCTGCCGAGGTGACTCAAGAAACGCAAATGCTTAGCAATAGCCTAAATTGCCAATATATGCCTGTGCGTTAGTAGAGAGAAACAATTTTGCTAGAATGCTGCTCACACATTTCAAAAATGATTTTATTTACCATTGCTTTTCTTCATCCTTTGGTTTCTGATATACTGAATTCAGTGATAACATTGAAGCCTGCCTTGCAGAAACAGTGTGTGTACGTTATTTGCTGCATCTGAAAAGCAGGTGTTCTCAACCCAATCTGAATATTTTTAGCAAATCCCTGCTTTGAAATGCAAATGGTTTTTCAATGTCTGCATAGTTTGAGATAAAGCAGTTAACAATGAATTAATCCTTGTTTTATGCAGTTCATTATCAAGAGACTATGACCCGGCCAACAATGTTTTTGGAACATAATAGGGTCTTGCCAAACAGGTAGACACTCTTTATTCAAACTGAGCACTTAGAGTTACAGTGAGCCTGTTTTTGAGGATTGCATTAGGAAGCATAATGAGCCAGATATAATTTTTTTGTGTATCCCCAAAATCTGCGGTGCAGCTACGATCAAGCTTTGTACCAGAGGTCAGTAAAATGATTGTCATGTGGAGAGTTTCTAGTAAACTTTGTTTTAAATGAGTAAAGACTGTGGGATCCCCTTTCTCAGGATAGTTGAAGATGTACGGGTGAGATTTTTTTTATAAAAGTGGAGTGCCCAAGCTATGCTTTTTTCAGTTCTCTTTCCC